GGAGCAATCAATTTGCTCCTGATTGGTCAAGACACACCTCCGGAGCCATCCAGGAAATGTGAGGGGCTGCTTTGGTGGGCTCAGGTGAGTTCCTCAGAGTTGGGAGTTGCCTCAAGGAACAGACATAACTTTAATATCAGTCCCAAACCTAAATTTCCCACACACCAAAATTTGTGTTTGAAAAGAACGATCTAAGCTATCCTAAACACTTAATGTTTTCCTTTAGTTCCCCAAAGAATTTTTGAGAGGTCTTATAACACCTAATAAAACGACAAGGCAACAAAGGAAAAAAGGCAAGGGTGAGTGGGTGTGTTGGTATGTGGGAGGATATCAGAAGTTCTGCGTAATGAAACTCAGAAACAGTTGTCAAGTTCGTTCTCCAGACGTGACTTGTATTTGCATTGAGTCAGAGACATTATTCCCACAAGAGAAATGGTTTAACAATTCATCAGTTCTTTTCTCTGTAACTGAAGGCCCCTCAATTATTCTGCTATAAAGCACAAAATCTAAGGAAGAGAGTACTGAACATGCAACCCCAGATCAGCATAAAAGAAGGGAGCTATGCCTTCAAACCTGTGGTAACAGGCACAGTTAGAACTGCAATTTTTAAGGAACAAGTTCTGTGGTCTTTTGCTTATATTTTGAAAAAGTCTTAGTCATATAAATTTTGTGCTTAAAATCTCAAAGTAACAGACATGTTATGAGATCTAAGTATCCCTGAAATCATCATGACCCATTATATTATACAATAAAATATTGTACTCATATTATAGAAAATAAAATTGAGAAATAATGAATTAAATCTAATTTGACTTAGAGTAAAATAATATTAATATTTCTTGAGCATTTGCTATGTACCACTCACATTACTAAATACTTTAAATATATTACCTCTTTAATACTCAGAACAACCCTGTGAAATCAGTATTATTTTTATTCATATTATAGATGAAGTAAGTGGTGCTTAGTTAAGTAACTAAGTTATGATGGCTCATAACTAGTAAATAGGCAACTCTTTAATTTGGATTGCAATTTCATGATGAAAATTTTCTATAGCTATGATTTTTTAATTTTAATTGAACAAAATTTAACTCAGGGGTTGCGAAAGTTAGAGATAACATCTATTTATCTTTGCAGCTATTTTCATATGTTTTTTAACATTCTAAAAATAGACTTTTATTGTTAGCTTATTACAAGAATTTGTAATGATTTTCATACTGGGCCTTCAGATAATTTCAATGATTGAACATAGAGGGAGCTCCAGGAATTTTCTCTTCCAGGAAAAAAGTTTCTTGAAAACTTTATTTCTCATCCATGTCAAAACATCTACCACATGTCTCTTCTCTTGTTGCAACCATATTTTATGAGGATTCAGCCAGAAAAATGAACCTATGAAAATAGGATTTGAGTTGCAGCATGTTTCTTTCCAGTGAATATCAGCACATCTATTTGATCAATTTACAGCTCTTAGTAAGTTGTCGTTTACATGTCAATATTGAGGTCTGAAGTTAGAGCCTTATTGTCATCCACTGTGTTCAATACCATCATCAGCATCTTGCCTAACATGCGTCATTTCATAGAAGGCAAATAGATAGTTATGGGACTAATTAATAAGAATGAATAAATTCTTACTAAATGACTTTACATGTATATCACTTAGCATATACCTAGCATATAACTGTTGACTATTATTATTATTACAATTATGAGCCAATATAATAACAACTTATATCTTGGAATGCTTAACAATCTGATGAGAAAGATAGAATAAGTCCGGAAACAAATAGAGATATTAAAACGCTTTCTAAATAATCAGAGAAATAAAATGTAATTTACATGACTGTATGTGTTTTGTGCACTTGGTCCATTTTCCCCACTAAATTGCAAGACATTCCAAGATATTTGCTTACGGTTTGTTGGATAAAAAAGAATAATAATACCCTAAATGTGTAGGATACATTTTATAAATCTATGAAATTATAGTCATGAAATGAAAAGCCTTGTTGTGGTTACTAAGTTGATCTTTAGCTTGCAGTTATAGTGTTTCTCAGTGTTTGTGAGGACCACTGGCTGCGTGCTTGAGAATAACCTGCAGTGTTTTAAGAAGTATAGTTTTGGGGGAAAGATTCCTAAATTAAGCTTCCAGTTTTAAGTGATTTAACATTTAAAAAATTTCTTCATAAGAAAGGTAGGTTCTCCTACTTGCTCTTTCTTATTTCACAGGACATGTTTGATTTGTTTAGCCTCTCAAGTTGTAGTCATCATTGTCCAAATTGCTTCAGTGTAAATACAGGTAAAACCATATTTAAGGACCACGGATAAGTTATGGCTCAAATTTTCCTGTTTAAAATTTGTAATCATTTTTCTTTGAAAAGAGGTCCATGACCACTTGCTTCAGAATAAGCTAGGATGTTTTGAGAAATGCAGATCCTGGGTTCCTTGCCAAGCCAACTGCATCAGCTTCTCTGAGGGTGGGGCCAAGGAATCTTGATTTCAGGCAAAAAAATAGTGATTTTTACTCACACTAAAATCAGCAGAAAAGCCTTATTTCTTTGCTCTTGAGCTCATAGCTGTGATTAGTTAGAGCCATAGTGTCTGAGTGAGGAGCCACTACATGCTAGCATGAGTCCTTTTGTGGTGAGTGGTTCTTGGCTAAGATAATACAGTGCTGGACAAGATCAAAAAGCTCTGAGGGTCTGCTAGGTGCCATACCAGCCCAAGCTCTCTTCCACCAGAAATCCCTGGAGGGCAGGATTCTGGAATGGGCAGCATAAGTCGGGGCTACTACAAAATAGAAGGCATAAAATTGATACCCTGAAAACAGAAAATTGCTTTTTTCAATTACTGTCCTGATGTCTCTCTGAATTACAAGGATTCAGTGTTTCAGAACGATTAGCAAACAGAAATTTCTAATTAAAGTAATAAATTAGCACAAGCTTAAACAGAAAACCTTTTTGTGTTTCTATTTTTGTCAGTAACGGAGAAACTGAGAATCTTGCCTGAGTCAGTCAGTATCATCAAACTGAATGCCAACGAGTATCATTCTGTAGATGTGTGGACAGGATGGCCGTACAACCTGCTGAGTCTGGGATGGTTCTGATACAAGCCTGATCTTCTGGTTGAAGCACGAATAGCACCTTCTTTCACTCTAAAAAGTGTCCTGGTTTGGATGATAAATTATGTGGTCCTCTGTCTATAGACACATCTCTGTAGAAGATTGAGCAGAGTGTGACACATCCTTGAATTTGTGTGTATATTTTTAAAATCAAATGTATGATCTCTTTGCTTTATGAAAGAAGGATTGTCAGGAAAATGCTTTCCAGTGAACTGAGGTGTCTGGTAGTTTGAATACTGATCTCCTGAAATTCCTTATGCTATATATACTAGGCCTTTTGTTTTGGACATTTTAAACATTCTGATGACCATGAATCAGAAGGACCTTATGACTCATGTCCCCCAGGCTCTGAGCTATAAAAGCAGGATCCCTTACCCATAATTGGGAACTAAAGTAGCTTTAATTGTGTTTAAAAGTCTTTTGGGTTGTGAATGGAAACCAGACTTCTCGTAGTGAACACGGCATAGCTATACAGAAGTTGAAATGTAATGATGTACGCCTGGAATTTATATAATATTATAAACCAATGTTACTTCAATTTAAAAAAAGAGAGAATCTTTTGGAAGGAATTGAGTTGAAAAGTATATGGGCCTAGGTACTCTGAAAGTAGACAGTGGAAGACAGCATGACAACAAAGGGCAGATAAAAAGACAAGCAAAATGATTTTGCTTTATACCAGGAAAGACATTTGGAACTTTCTATTTAAAATGCTCTTTGTGACCATTAATTAGTTAATCTTAACAACCTCCTGGTAGAATACATCAGCATTATTATCACTTGCTGCAGATGCAAAACTTGAAATACTGTAAGATAACGAGGCTTTAGCAAGAATTGAACACTAATGAATGGCATAGTAAGAATTAGAACTGAGTCTCTCTTGGGCAATTCTATTCAGAGTCCACCAGGCCAGAGTCTCTGTAGTGTAGCCAACACACCACTCTGTGATTACAGAAGCACATCCTGAGGAATGCCCAAGTTTGGTAAGAAAAGACCAGCTCAATGCTCTGAAAGCTAAATGAAATATGTGTGTCCATGAGGCACAGAGATGCTATCTTTGCCTAAGACCTCTGCGGAGAGAAAGACATGGTTCAGTTTGCTCTGAAAGGAGACACATACTAAAGAAAATCAGCAATTGGCTGTAAGGGACTTTACGTGGTATCACCTTACAACAAAGAGTAATAGAGAGGGACCAAGGGAACAAAGATTTTTGTGTTTTGAGTTGCAACTTTGCAGAATATGGTTGGAAACAAATAGCTTACTGGGATCGTCACCAGAAGAAAAAAATCACTGCCATTTTCTTAAACCCAGATAAAAATCTGAGAGGGAACTGGCTAACTTGAAGAAAGGTCAGAACTGGTGAACCATTTGTTCTTCTGCCTCACACTAACCAGTCAGCTGCTAACTCAATTCACTGAAGAAACATTATGTCAAAACGTTAGTAATCCACTTGTAGAGAAATAACAGATGACAGACTTTTTCTAAAATTTTCAAATGGTCTTTAGTATTGAAAGTTCTCCTCTGGCAACCAAAAAGTTTTCCGACTTTATATTAGTGTGGGATAGGAAGTGCCTTAGGAGAAAAGATGGACTCCTAACTTATACTTACATCAAAACAAATTCCAGAGTTTTTATAAACTTCAATGAAAAAAGAGAAATACTGGTTAAAATACATATGACTCTCTAAACAACACAGATAAATATCCAAAAGAAAGATGAGCAAATAAAATAAACAACAAAAGAGGAAATACAATTAGCTAGTAAAAAGTTTTTAAATGCCTAATCTCACTAGTAATTTTTTAAAATTTCATTTAAAAATAGATAATATGCATATATACGTATATATAAAATACAGTAATTAGATTGACAAAGAAGAAAAATAGTATTACTATCTTGCCGGGGTCCAGCCCCAGCCGGAACAGGGTCTCCTGAGGATGGACGGTGTCGGCGAAGGAGGAGGCAGTGAGACAAGGAGTTTGGTGTCCAAGTCTAACTTTATTTTGTGTATGCATGATTTATATAGGGCTCAGGATATGCAAGGATGATTTCATGAAACAGTCCCAGTATATTTTTTTGGCTCACGTAAGCGGCTTTTTGTAAAGTAGACAATAGTCCTAAGAGCAATTGATTGCAAGGTAGACAATAGTCCTAAGAGCAATTGATTGTGTGTAGGCCTGGGGGGAGTCAAGCTTCTGCAATCCTTTACTTCAAGGAGGCCACCCCCAGCGGCCTCCTGATTTAGTGGGCCGTGGCAACCACCGTCCTCCTAGAGAGATCTGTGGGGGCCACAGATTTCTTTGTTCGCTCTCCACTCCCATGGCTCCACCCAACCAAAGGACAGGTCAAAATGTTCTTTCCCTAGAAGATGTTTTTCCCCAGAACTTTCTCTAGAATATTGCATTGTATCATTCTCATTCCCAGGGCCAGGCTGACTTCCCCTGAAATAACCCCAGGTGCAGAACAGAGTGAGCAGAAGCAGGAAAGTCAAAAGTACCAGGGAGACTTATTGCAGGGGAAGCCTGGTAGATTCCCTTGAGGATCGCTGTGCGTCCCCTCATCTCTCTCCCGGACCGTGTCACAAGGCAGAGGCTTAACTTGTAGGCTGACGGCTCCCGGCACTATCTAGTGTTAGCATGCATGTAAATAAAAGGTACATCCTAAAAATTGAATTGTTAATTAGTAACAGGTGTCTAGGGGGCAATATACAATATGTATCAAAAGCTTTAAAAATATACATGCCTTTTGGCACAGAGATGTTATTGAAAGAAATACATCTTGAGGGGAAAATCATCAAACAAAGATCTAAGCAGAAGAGTGCTTGAAAAAGCAATATTCATGATATCCCAGATAATGGGAACAACAGAGAATTGACTGACTAAATTATTATACATTGTAAAAGGAAGTACTATGTAGCCATTAAGGAAAGAAGAAGAACAGCAACAGGACACAATCCTGCAAACAATATTACATTAGTTCTACAGAGGGTGCCTACTCATTTCCCAGGAAGCTGTACAAACTGTCAGCATCTTTTTGGACCTGACACCTAGGTGTTTTTTCATCTACACCAAGAGAACTACTTGATAATTATTCTAAGGCAACATGCTTTGGGCAGAGCTTAGAGCTGCTTTTTTTGTGACATCTCATCCTTGCTCCTTTGGCTGTCCTAACACCCAAGGCAAGATAATCCTGAAAAATATTCCTCTAAAAAGTACTGGTGAGCTAATTTATTTTGGGAGAATGAGAGAATAATATGTAAAGAACCATATGAAAGAACAATGTGTAAAATATATAAAAACTGTATTCAGTGGGTTCCAACAGATATGACTATGCCTTTTAGTCTTGCTCTGAAGTACTAATTGCGTAGGCATCCTTTCATTCTGCATTGTATATACATTTGAATCCTAAACCTGTCTTCTCCAGAGAAAGAAAGGGGCAAAACTCCCCTCAAAATATTTATTTACTTAAAAGAAACATTCAATACGACACTATAATTTACTACTGCTATGTCATTAGGAATCTCTGGGATGCATTATCTGGGTTTTTCTGACCCAATTTCAGCTTCTCTTATTGATGGAGAGAATTTTAGAATAGCGTTGAGTCACATAAAGCTGTAGTTCTCAAACTTGGGCATCCATCAGAATCACCTGAAGAACCTGTTATAACACAGACTTCGGGTCCCAATCCCCAGGACTTCTGACTCAGGAGTTCTGGAGTGGGGGTTGATTTTGCCTTTCCAAGTTTCCAAGTGATGCTGATGTTGCGGGTCTGGGTATCACATTTTGAGAACCACTGACTTCAAGAAATGAGCAACAAAGAAATCACATACTCTAATCTAATCTATCTAACACTACGTGTACAAGCATCTTTCAGACAGACATCAAAAAAGTATATTTGCCTTACAATTTACACAAGTACAAATCTATTGATTAATGATACAGTAATAGATGTGTCATACGATGATGTCACTACAAATTAACTTCCTTATATAGTTTTTGCAGGTTTTATGCTTTAAATTAATAAAAACATGAATTCCAAAGTTTAGAATAGAATGAAGTAATTTATTTAATCTAAGATTGTAGTTAAGCAAACTGATCCTTCAGTTCAGCCTTATGCAATCTCATTTTTGTGAAATTAACTGGTGGGTGGTACAAATGAGATTAATAAAACCAGGTATCACTTATTACTGCTTCCGTCATTATTTGGAAATTCTTAGGATTAAAAATACTTCTGTTGCTAAATTGTATACTGAATAGAGGGTTCTGATGAAGAGGTGGGGCATAAGGTGGATTTAGCTAGTGATGGACCATGTGTTTTAATATATATTTATACCTTTTTAAACTATGTGAATAGAAGCTCAAGAAAGTCACAGAATTTGCATAAGCAGCACAGTTAGAAAAGCAGAAAATGGTGCTCCTGGAGACCACTGTGTATTTCCAGGTCCAGGATTCTGTCACTAAGTGGTTGCCATTGTTTTCTTTTCATTTAACTTCTGGAAGCAACCATTCAAATACTATTGCAAGCAGTAAGTTACATATTTGAAGCTTAGTAAGCTTCCAGAGTTTCCAGAACTTTCTTGGCATTAAGGATAACAGTTAATGATTACCTTGTGGGATGTTAAGTTAGGCCAGTAAAATCAGTGTATGTGAGTGCCTGTGTGTGAGTGTGTGTGTGTATATCTGGGTGAAAACTGTCCACAATCAGGGCATAATTTTAATCTCTAAAGCTGTATTATTAACATAGACATCACAGAGTTCTTTTTAGATACATCTAAATAACGAAAGTGTCTATCATGCTTTTCTTCTTTGTGGTCATTGACATTAAACTTTGTGTTTTTACCTATTTAGTCCTACAGATTTTCAGTAAGCACTTTCCCATTTCCATAACACCAAAATCCTGGCTCATTGCGCCGTTCCTAACAGCATCCACAAGATCACTCCTCATTCCTTGACCCAAATGATCAGACATTTAATTGTTTCGCATGCTGTAACTGATGCCTTCTTGTTCTATTTCAGGGATCATTTCTCTCATCATTCATTAGACCTAGAAGTCTAATGGTAAAAGAAACACTTTTTCATCCTCCTCGTTTCCCAGAGGATCAATTTGGATACTCTTTTTGTCTTTCTCTGCCCCTTTACTCGCTCTGCTTCTCTTTGAGTTACCTGGAGCAGTGTTTATCTTTGGAAACATCTGGACAAGCTCTGTCTTTTCTATCCTTGTTCCTCTGGGGAACAGAATGCCTACAGTGAGTGTTGGTTTTGCTGCCATCAAGAGAAGTGGCTCTTCTCCAAGGGAAGCTTCTGCAGCCTTGTGCTGCCTTGACTAGGTGGTTAAATCTAAAAAATTCTGGAGCTCAGGACTAGTAAACCCTCTTTCTTAACTGCCTTAAAGCCATGTTTTCTAATCTTGCCTCTCTTAGTAATAAAAGATAAATTTTGCTTCATAACCTGAGTAGGGAGGGGAGATGCTATTGATTGTGGCCACTACGGACCCCAACACCAAGCGTAAATCTCATCCGAATTTATAGATTTTATGTTATTCATAAATCCCTCTCTATCTTTCCCTTCCCACAAGGGTCATGGTTTTTCTCGTTTATCCTATTATATGTGTATGTGTGTGGAGGTGTCTATATGATTACATGTAAACGTATGCATAGAACCTTCTTTGTCTTGGATACTGCTTTTCTTATGTTTTACTCTGGGTTCATTACTCTTCTTTCTTCTTTTTCAGTGGCAACTCCATACTCAGACCTGCCTTATTGACCTTGCCAAATTACGACACTTGCTTTCTCTACTGAGCCGTAGATTCCTGTGCAAAAACCAGTGTTTGCTATCTAATATAACAGAAGAGGTATTAGTGAATAAACGACAAGAAAGAAAACAATATCAAAAGTTAACCAGGATGATAAAGATAGTATTTAAAATCACTGATAAAAATATGCATTAGTTAATAAATGGCTTGGGCCACCTGAGTAGACAGCTGAAAAAAAAATAAGATTTCTACATCAAAATAAATGCTAGGTAGATTAACCAATTAAACCAACAAATTAGATAATATATATGATAAAAGTAAATAACTAACATAATAAAATGAGAAATGAGAAATTTGTAATCTTGGAGAAAAAAAATCCTAAGTATGACACAAAGCTCAGAAGCCATAAAGAGAAAGATTCTGTAAATTTGACCATAAAAAAGACTTAAAAATTGTATATAGCATAGGGTCTTGATTGATAGCAGTATGGGATTATTTTTCAAAATGACAAATGCATACACTCTTTTTAACACCAGCAATTCTAGTCCTAGGATTCTTTCCACAGATATACCAGCAAGTGTAAGAAATGACATATTTTTAATGTGTCATTCATTTAAATGTGTCATTAAATGTGAACATTCATTTTAGCATGGTTTATAAATACAAAATGTTGGAGAGTATAGCTGTCCTTCAATAAAGGACTGATTCCATTTTGATATATAATTGAAGATAAAGATAGCAGTTCAAAAAAAAAAGAGATAACTTGCTGTTCTCTGACTGATTTCACATAGACTAATTTATGAGATAACTTGTGAATAGCTTGACTAGGGAAAAGCAAGGTGCTGAACGGTAGACGTAGTAGACTGCCTCTTAAGTAAAAAGGGAAGATGAAGATGGAAACAAAGAAGACATATATAATTCTGTAGGAATACACAAGAAATTAGTAACTGTGGTTCATCCAGTGAGAGGAATTAGTGAATCAGGGAACTGAAAGGAATGGTACTTTTCACCACATAATCTTTAGAATTTCTAATTTTGTATGTTGTACACATATTACCTGTTAAAAGGAATATTTTAAAAGAACAAATCTGTATCTATAAAATTCCTCTGAAAATTGTATAAGATTTTAAGCCAGCTTACACTCATCTTCTCCATTTCCCACACATCCCAGGGTTTGTTGAAAGTATCTGGAGTTTTAGCTCTAGAATGTTTTGTTGTTGGTGTTGGTGCCGTTGGGTCGATTCCAACTCCCAGAGACCCTGGGTACAGCAGATGGATCCTGCCCCATCTTTCCGTGCCCTCCTCTTACCTTCCCGCACTATATCAGACAATGTTCCACTGCTTTGAAACCTTCATAAGGTTTTCATGGCCAATTTTTTTAGAAGTGGGTGACCAGGTCCTTCTTCCTAGTCTGTCTTAGTCTGGAAGCTCCACTGAAACCTGTCCACCATGGGTGACCCTGCTGGTATTTAAAATATTGGTAGCATAGCTTTCAGCATCATAACAACACACAGCCTACACAGTATGACAACCGTCAGATGGGCAGTGTGGTTCCTTGACCAGGAAACAAACCCAGGCCTTGGCAGTGAGAACCAAATCTTAACCTCTAGACCATCACTAGAATATTAACTTTAAATTGAAACATTTAGAACATTATGCTTCATATTAGCAAAGTCTATACATTTAAATTTTGTAAAATGCTAAGTTTATAACCAAGAAGAGCATATCTATGGAACGTATTAATTCTGGTTTTACCCCTGACTGCAGTGGCCACCATCATATGTGAGAGCAGTTCTGTTTGAACATAAGTATATGGGGAGCATATTGATGAAAATAATAATAATAATCATGTTTTCACATATTGAGGTATATGGGGAAGCTATTCTGGTTTAAATTTGATTTGGCCTAAAACTTGTTTTCCCCAGAGTAGCCTGACTTGTGGCCTACCAAACACACATTGTACACCTGCTTCGAACACTTCTCAAAAGAAAAGAATGCATTCTTTAAAGATGGGGATGTAATGTCTCCCTCTGTCTGATGCTGATACCAGTACTTCTTTGAAGATAAGTTTTTCTTCCCAGAGAACTAAGGTCAAGTTGACCTGCTATGTATGTACTAAGCTGCAACGAAACATCTCCTTGAGACTTTGGGGAAAAAAAATTGTATTCCTGTCATGCTTGATGTATGTTCTTTGTTATGAAATGGTATATAACCATGCTGTCAACCAGGCTTCCCTGGAATGCTTTCCTCCCTGTGGAAGAGAGTGCTTCAAGACTAGTCCTTAGCTCAATAAATATCACCCTATTCTTATCTATACATTGGTTATTGATTATTTGCGTTGACAATATGATTTAGAATCATTATAGAGGTAGGTTTGGGGAGGTAAAGTTTAAGGAAATATAGTTTAAAGAAAGCCTTGGTAAACTTGCCAGAGTATTAATCATTACTTCTCAGTCTACAAAGGCTGGATTTGAGAGAAAGCTACAGGATAACCATATCAAGTCCTGCCAGTATATATGACATAATATTACTTTATTACCCTTTCTGCCTGTGCCCCTTCCAGAAGACTCTTGATTTCCTGTTTTCCTCCCCATTTCATGAGGTATCTCCACAATGCAGCCCATATCATCTGCCATGGTAGAATGCAAAAAAGAACACAATAGTTTTTAGCTTCCCCCATCAAGAGATGGAGTCTGCTTCCACTTCCCTTATGTCTGGGCTGCCTTGTGCTTTCTTTGACTGATAGTATTGGGCTGCAGTGATGTTATGCAAATTTGTACCCTACACTTCAAGGGGCCTTCCTCTCCTGCTGGTAATGATACCCTGTGAACTACATGACCAAGCTCAGGCTGGCCTTCTGGATGATGAGAGAGATGTGCCCTATGAGCCTTCACTGTCCCAGAATACAGTCGGTGAAAACTCAGAAGGAGAGCCATCTAGTTGAGCAGCAGCTGAACGCAAACACATGGTGAGTCTAGCCATACGTGTAGAACCACTCAGCTGTACCTGGCCCAGACTCCAGACCCCCAAGAATCATGATCTAATTAAACGGCTGTTGTTTTAAACCACCAGGTTTTAGGTCGGTTTATTATGCAGCAATAGTACGTTATTCTCCTGGAATAGCCACCTCGCTGGTTTCTCGCCCCCAATGTCAGTAACTAATATCACCCTGACAAACAATCTTTCTCAATACTTTTCAGAGATACACATATTTTAATTCCTAAACTTGAGTTTTGATACTATTTCTTTTTTCAAAGAATTCTTCCTTTCACTCGAATTTCCAGACCCTACACACAAGTTCATCTCCCCTAATTCTCTGCTCCCTTCTGCTCTGTCATTTCCTTTCTACCAACTCGTCCTTCCTTATCGCCAAGATTCACCTTGTCTAGAGGGTCCCTTTAGACTAACCGCCTTGCTCATCAGTCACTTCTCTTCAGTTAGTGATCTAATATGCAGATTACTAAACTACCTTGGAGCTGTTCACATGTCGTGTTGTAATCGTTTTCCAGACCAGGTTTAATGTAACACTGGGCATGGAGGAACAGTAACTGACCTTTGAGATATTAACAATTCCTCAGAAAAAAATAGTTAATTTGATCAAATACATCTGGGATATATTGGGGTAAGCAATAACAAACTGTTTTGGGTTTTGTTTGTCTATTTTTAACATCTTAAATCCTTTTCTTCATAACATTATATGAATTGTTAACAACCAAGGAGATATAACTGGTCCCAAACTAACCATGGAACTGTTGACACTCTACTGGACAGATTTTAAGAACTGTTATCTTAATATTACCTTAAGCTTAAATACATAAAAAAACAGCTGTTAAACAAAACCTGTAGTCCTTAATGGCCTGTGTAAGAAAAACAAGAAAGAGAATTGATTAGTGATATGGAAATTAAAGAAGCTTTTTAATTTTTCTTAAAATTCAGTACTGTAAATTTCTAAACTATGAGAATTCCTTTAGATGTTAGATTATTCATATTTTATGCTTGTGCATATTTTTATAATATTTGCCTTTGTGACTGAAATAGATATCTTAAATATCAGTTAATCTTTGATTAAGTCATCTCAATAACTCACATATTTATTAGAATAAATGTATAAACGTAAACATAGTTTTGTAAAACCTTAATTATATGTGTGACAGACTGAAACAGAGCTGCCCAGTCGTGTGTCACAGCTTTCTCATTTGACACGAATTGGTTATAGGTATACCACCATATTGATCGCTCAGGCTTTCAGAGGGCCTCACAGCCAGGGTTCCAGGCCAGTGCCCTCTGCTCACGTCAGCACTTTATCTATTTACTCAATGTGCTGTACAAAAGTATCATCTTCTACATGTGCTATGAGAAAAACTTTTTGGAAGCACTATTTCTCAAACTTCTGTGTGCACAAGACTCATCTGGGAAACTTAATAAAACACAGACTCTGAGGCCCCATTCGCTGAGTTTCTGATTCAGTCAGTGTGCGGTGGGACCAAGCATCTATATTAGTAATAAGCACCTCAGATATTTCTGAGGCAGATGGCACGAGAACCTCCTTTTGAAAAAACACTGGTAGATCAGTAGTCAGTATCTTAACAGGAGAAAGGGAAACATTTTTTTTTTTCCTTAGCAACTTCTTTGCTCTCATCCTATAAATATGGGAGCATCCTAGGGGTTCCTTTTTGGACTTCTCTCTTACTCTCCTGGTGATCTCTTCTAGTGTCAGGGTTTTAAACACCACCCACATGCGGATGACCCTAAAGTTTCTATCTCTAGTCTGGACCTCTGCAGTGAACTCTGAACTTGGTTATTTTATTTACTGCTTGTCATTTCCATTTGAATTTATAACAAGGAGCTCAAATTTGACATGTCCAAAGCTGAATTCTTTTATCCTTACATCTTCTCCTCCTCCAGTAGTTCCTTCTTTACTTAACAGCATCTCCATTCTACATTCTCAGTTGTTCTGGCCAAAAGTCTTAGTGTCATTCTCAGCATTATTCTTCTGTCTTCCCACCCACCTCCAAACCAACAGTATATCCCCCCAGCTCTACTTTCTAAATATTTCCAAAATCATTTCCAGTAATCATTTCGTCTTCTCTATTGCTACTCTCTAATCTAACCCACCATGCTTTCTCACCTAGACAATTGCAATCGCCTCTTATCGATTCTCCCTCCTTCCACACCTGCTGTACTTGCAATCTATTCTCTACATGGCACCCAAGGTGAGACCTACAGACTGAATGTTTGTATCCCCCCAAATTCGCATGTTGAAGCCTAATGCTTAGTGTAATGGTATTTGGTGATGGGGCCTTTGGGAGGTGATTAGGTCTTTGCATGAGATTAGTATGTTTGTAAAAGAGCCCCCAGAGAGCTCCCTTTCCCCTGTCAGTCATGTGAGGACACAGCGAAAAGAGCTGTCTGTGAGTCAGGACACTGAATCTGCTAGCACCTTGATCCTGGATTTCTCAGCCTCCAGAATCGTGAGAAACAAATTTCTGTTTGTTCAGAAACCACCCAGTCTACGGTATCTTTGCTATAGCAGCCGAATGGACTGAGACAGTGAGTCTCCTACAGTGTAAGTTAGATCATATTAGTCCTCCACTCAAACCTTCCAAGGCTGCCATCTCACTCAGAGTGTAACCCACTGATGGGTCCTCTTCATCAGCCTACCGGGCCTTCTATATTTCTCTCTATCCTTGTCTCCACCAATCTCCCCCTCACTCGCCTCTCTCCAGCCACTTTGTCTCCTTTATTGTCTATTTAATAGGCCAAGCAGGAACCCACCTGAGAAACTTTGCACTTGCTCTTTCCTCTGCATGACTTCATCCTCATTTCCTTCAAATCTCTGGCCAACTGCCACCTTCTCAGAAGGAGCCTTCTCTGACCACACCCCTAACACTCTTTAGGCCCCTAATCTATTTTTGGTCACAGCTATTCATCACTTGACATATTAATTTTTTTCTTGTCTGTCTCTCTTCAAAGTAACTCCATGATATTTAGGAAATCCATCCATATTATTCATTGCCACATTCCCCAGGATATAGAACTGTGCTTAGTTCAGAGTATAAACTCAGTGTTTCAATTAATAAGTGCATATACGATAATATGTAAAATATATGGTCAGTGAATATTATAGTGTCATTAATTCACTTATTGAAATATACTATTAGAAAGAACCCCTCTCACACACATATCAAGGGTGACGGATGTAGATTGAACAAATACTAAGGTAAATGAATAGCTGTTAACACTTGATTTCTGGGCATTTAATTAGCAATAAGAAGAACTACTAAATATTGGCCATGGTTTACACAGAGCTTTCCACTGTACCATCAGATCCTCACAACCATACAGACGGCTATGATTAATACCCTTTTTTATAGATGAGAAAATGTTGCCAGAGGGTTAACATTACTCACCTTTGCTCAAACAGAAATTATGGGGCAGAGGAATAGCAGCAGAGATTTATTGTGCTTTCAAGATGTGTCTGGCTCTGCATAAGTGCTTTTCAGGCATCGGGTCAAGAATCCCATAAGAACCCTCTGAGGAAACTTGCATCCCGAGTTGTGGATGGAAACAAACATAGATTAAGTTACAGAGTGAGCTAAGTTAGGATTCAAAAGTGGGCGGTCTGACCCTCGAACACAGACTCATCACCTGTTACTCTACAGCTTCCCCCAGGCCTGGGGCACCCTCTGCTCTGCTCTCTGGTGTTTTTGCTATCACCGTTACTGATAACTTCTGGGAGACTAGACTGCGTTCTGTCGGACACGTTCAAAATGCTCATTGAGTAGGATATGGAGATATTCTACTCCACATTAGGCAGGCAAAAGATGATACAGCATTGTCAGATGTTCTTAAGTAAAATATTAAAAATATTAAATCATTCAACATTTAAGGTTATTGCCCTAAAATAGAGTTTTCAAATAGGTATAAAGGTCAAGACTCCATGAAACTGTTATATATTTAAACATTAGATGTGACAATTATTGTTGCTGTGAATACGTTATAAAAAAACTTACCTTTGGCACTCATACTTTCTTTTTTTTGTATTTGACAACAGCATTGAGCAGTTTAATCTTATTCTGAACGATCCCATCAGATATTGAATAATTTTCTTAGATCTGTAAACTGAACTATTCCAAAGCCACGTGGTAATAAATCGTGCATGATTATAGTCTGATCATATAAATACTATCACTTCTTGAACGTGGGCATGTATTTGTTCTTTTGCACTGTTGAAAAGTTGGTGGGAGGATTGGACTTGCTGTACTATACTAATGAGATTTTCTGGACTGCAATTACTCCCTAGCTGAGTTTTGCTTTTTTAAAGGTGATAAATTACTAACCATATGCTGTGTGACTCAAGTTGTTTGGTGAAGAGGGTGAGATTGATGAGCCCAGATGGGCCTTTGCAATGAAGACAGAAACCCGAGATGGTTCAAATTTGAATTAGGTCTGCTAATAAGATGTGTGTAAGGAAGAGGTAGATAGAAGAAATATCTAAATTTCTCATAAGTCGCCATTTATTCACCAGTATCTGCTGTGCACCTCTGTGTGCTAGGCCATGTGATGTATTAGAAATGAGGAGTCCAATGATGTTTACCACTTCTGGTCCTCAAGGAACTTACAGTCTAACTGTACTCAAGGCTTTCTAAACATTGGTGCTTGCCTCAGTGAAGTTTTAATCAACTCTATGATGGTGAACACAATGTTGTCCCTGGCCCTTTTTATCTTGGACTAGGCATCCATAGTTGCATGGGTGGGAAGGGGGCAGGGATCAAAACATTCTTAGAACAGACTCTCCGTCAGTTCTCGAATCTGTTTGCTCAATGACATAGCTGAAATAGTTAAAGGTTCAGCTAAATTACCAGTTAAAGTGGTTTTTCCTGCCGTTCACAGGTCATTTTCTAACTATCTCATCTTAACCAATTATGAAAACCATTGACAAAGACCAGAAGGGAAAAACATACGGAGATCCAAAATCCTTGAAAAAACGCTATGGCAGAAGCCCGGGAAGCAGGTGTGGAGAGGGCATGATTAAACTGTAGTAACATTAACTTTGCATTAAACAGAAGCTTGGTTTGTTATTCTGATTCTTAAAACCTGTCTCTCTGAAAACATAGTTTAGCGTTAGTTTGGAAGTCTCATCAAAATAAAGAGTCATTTTAAAAAAAAGTCTAAACCGCTAAAGAAGGATGGTATGTGAAGTACAGAGATTTAAAAACGGGAACGTTTGAGAATTTAGACATTGCCTGTGAATAAAAAATATTTTTAGTAATGGCAATTGTGGAGTTTTTCTATATTTCAGGATGAATGCTAATACTAATTCATAAATTTTTTTTTCTATGTATGAGCAAACTGCAGTAGTAAAAGAAACGGCTGCTTCTGTCAAATAGGTCAATTTTTAAAAAGTAGCTCAACAGTTACAAAACATTCATCATCCATTATTTGGGGGACAGGGGATTGGTAAATAAAATGAAAAATCACTCGTATTGTTTTTGTCTTTGTAAATGATTTTCAATCTCCCTGCTTCATAAGGGTCAACTCTTCTGCCTTTTCCTCTGGTCTCCCTCCAAAGCGGAGTAGCAGGCATTATCTCCTGCCTCACGGTTAACATAAAAGCCATCAGAAATCAGCACTTTGCATCCAGAAACATCCTTTCCTATTTAAGTTTACGTAGAAGAAAATAATTAAATAATTAAAATGATAATAACGATGATGATGACGATGAAGACGATGACCAATAGGAATTAAGTAAGCGTTAGGTGCCAGATTGTGCTAAGTGCTTTATAAACAAGCAGTTAATTAGTCTCTTATTATCCCAGTTTCTCAAATAATAAAATCAACACTACAAGAAGTAAAGGAACTTTCCCAGGGCCCCATAGCTAATAAATGACGGAGCAAGTAGGTCAATCAAGATGACTGTGGCCCCAGTGTTGAAACCTGTCCTGCTCCTGCAGTCTATCTCCCACCCTGTTCTACATCCCATACCACTTTGCCTCTCTAGAGATCTTGAAATAGGGTTATCCCTCTGGTTTCTGAGCACTCAATATTTCCCTCTCTATGGGCTTTCTCCTGTTCACACGCATACATGTGCTTTAGGCAGAAGAGATGGGAGGAATGATGTCATGGAAAAGAATATAGTATGTCTATGACAACCAGTCTTACTGGAATACATACTGTGACAATATGTCTTATTTAATCCTCCTAACAGGCAGTGATGTCAACTTACGATGCTCTTTCCCATGAGACTGAAAAACTGAATATATTCTGTTGGGTCAGAATAGATGGGGGTGTCAGGATTCCAACCCAGTTTTCTCTAATCCTAAACCCATGCTCTTTTCATACAATAAAAATTTACCTAAAATTTGTGGTATTTGAATATTTTTTACTGGGATATTGGAAATTGTTGTTGGAAAATTCCGCATATGTGTTCATAGGTTCCTGAACAAACTGGGATCTGAAGGGAAAGGATCTCTATCACTTTACAGGCTGTCCCCAATGAAAGTATCCATTATGTTCATATCTTGATAGTCAGTATCTCTCTCTTCCACTCTGCACGTCCCTTGAAGGACCAACATAAGCCATTGCTCTTTCCCTTGCCTGAAGAGTTTGATATCCTATCGTTTGTTTATGAATAGATTTCTTTTTTGGAGTTCTTGGTGCATTTGGAACTTAATTCTCATCTCATCTTAAATTCTGCCAGCTTGTAAGATACCTTTACAACAACCATGCAAGTAATCAATCTCTTTTGCTTTCAATCAATACAGTATAATTAATTTGGCTGGTCGGCAATGGACAATGTTTCTTCCTAAATTTGCAGTATGTGAAATACCACTCAGAAGCAAAAATGAAGAATTGTCTCTATCAGTGTGATCAGCTCCTTGATTGCCATATTATAAGGTAAATACACTGCAAGAAGCTGGGGAGGGAATATTTGGGTTGCAAACCCTAAATACTGCTTTTAGTTTTAAAGGGCAAAAAAAAATATTTCTCATATATCTACTTCTGGCAAAAAAAAAAAATGAAATGATAACTCCTCTGTTGGTTTGAAGAAAAGCTTGATCCAGTGGTATCTTGGACAAACATCTTGATTTCCCAATGCTTTGAACCTGATAAAAGCAATTATTTGATCTAATCGCTTGTTTGTATGTCTCTAAAATATTCAAACTGAATGCCACCATGATATTGAGCAACAGTCAAGGCCCTTGGAGGTCTTCACTAGTCTTGCATGTGAGATCTTAAAGAGACTACGCATTCAAAAGAGGCCTTTACAACTTTTTCTCAAACATACATACTAGTAAATATTTATTATATTACTGAACCATGGTTACTAAAAGCTGTAAATGCTTGCAGGTGTAACTCAGTAATTAGTGCACCCAACATGCACCAATCTCCAAAGCTGAATCAGGTTTATGATCAGTTCCATCATTTCCCTTCATCAGACATCCCAATAGGAGATTCCCAAGAAGAGGTTTCCAAAGGTTTGGAGTAACACCAAAGTACTTTTTCCAAATGGCAGCTTTTAAAAAAAGAAAGCAAGAGAAAATATCTTCTTGCTGGTATTGGAAACATTTAAGTTTTATTATGGTTTGGATGTCATAATTCAGTTAGAAATATCCAGGGGACATAAATAGGTCAATAGCACTGTGGTGGTATTTATATTCATTTGGAAATTTTAAAAACATCACCAGTTCATTAAAAAGGGGGAAGAAGGAAAAGTAAACAAAGTCACTGCATGCTGTTCTGAGTAACCAGGCAAACATTATTTCAGTCTCCTTTGTCTCATTTTGCTTTTCACTTTCTGGATCTCTTAGCAACCATCATTTTCATGCCCAGAAACAAAGGTAAAATATTTTGTTAAGAAGTATTTGGGGTCGTTGCTAGTTTGTTTTTCTTTAAATAAAGCCATGTTTATTCCAGTTAGAATAATGGGAGGAAAACAAGCTTACGTAGCCTCCTTCCTGGGATGGTAATGAAAACGATCTTCAAAATATAATTGGAAGCATGGCTGTGAAAGCATAATCTTCTAGATATGGTTGGAACACAGGACTCCCTAGACCTAATTACTGCTAAATTGGCAAAAGAAGCTGGAGATGCTTTGGATAGTGCTTCGCCCTGTGCTTCTGAAATGCTACAGATCAATGTAATTTTATTAGTTCTGGGTGTTTAGAGCTACACGTATCCCAAGTTGTTTCTCAGCATCATAAATAAAATCTCTAAACCTGCATTATCGACAACAGACAAGGATAGAAAGTCATAGTGTTAAGAGAAAAGCAGATTTGCCACTAACTCAAGTGGCCTCTGAAGTCAGATGAACCAGGTTCCTAACTGCAGTTTTGCCACCTATCAGCTGCGTATCCTCGGGCAAGTTATTTAATAGGTCTGTTTGTTATTCAAGAAAATCAAGCTAATAGTGACTACCTCATGGAACTATTATGAAGAATATGTCTTTTTAAATTGCATAGAAGAGTTTACCTTAGTTCTTGATACTTAGCAGATGCTTAATAATTTTTTATTATTTTATATTTTCTATAACCATCACTGAATATTCCTAAGCTCCAGCCTTACGTGAACAGGAGTTAGTCACGTCCTTATCGACCCACCATAACGAACTCCCAGAGTTTTTCCTTGTTCTTCATGACTCATGCAGCCCCATAAGTTGTAAGTTCAAAATCAAATTTATCATATTTCCTCCTAAACTTGTTCCTCCTTCCCTATTCCTCTTAACTCCTAACGATGTGTTTCTGCCATGGTCTCCAGCCCCTAGAATCTTCCTCTAGCCCACCGTTCTCTGCCTAATTCCTCACAGTCACCCAGCCACCCAATGTAGTTAAGCATATTTCTAAAATATATTTCCCATTCATCCTCTCCTAACTGTCACTGCTACTCGCCACTTTTTGCGTTTTGTCACCTTGTGCCAGGAATAACCACCTGCCTGGTTTTACAGTCAGCAGGCATTTTCTTCTTTAAATCTTCCACTGTTACTAGATCATCCTTCCTAGACGAACGTTTGGATTGTATCACTCATCTTCTCTAAATCTTTCCACATCTTCCCACTGCCTGTCTACTGAATCAGATACAACCCCCCACCCCGCCCCCCAGTCTGGCATATCACACAGCAACAAGCACATTTTCTTTCCTGGCTTATATTCCATCACTCCCCTACAGAATACTTAGAATACTCTTGCTTTACATCAAACTATTTCATTGGGAATCAAGTCTGCAAGTCTGTCTTTAACCCCCTGCTTTCGTGTCTTTCCTTAAGCTGTTCCTCTACCTAGGACGCTCTCCCTCCCAAGCAAAAATTAAGTCCATGTTTCAATATCATCTCATTCATGAGATCTTTTTAATCCTGCCTTAAAATTTATCTTTTAATTTTCAAATATCATAAATGTATCTATCACTATCAGTGATGCGTTATTTAATACATCAGTACAATGCTTTGCCGCTTACAGGTATGCTTGTATATTACTTATAAAATGATACCTACTCTGTTCTGTGTTGTTTATTTCCGTACTAATTGGTATTCCTACTGATAATGGCATTGCCCTACAAAGAATTTTTTCTCTCTTTACATTATTGAAGTTCTATGAGAAGAAAAGAGTTTATCTCCTTACTCAGAGAGCTAGTTACAAATTAGAGAAAATTATAAAAGCAAAAGACACAGATTGTCAGCATTCGTTCAACAAGTTTTAAACATATACACACACATACTTATTCTAAGATCTGTTCTGTGCTGGATGCTAGTTGTATGAGAAAGGTACAAAAGAAATAGTTATACAAATAATAACTTATTTTAGCTGTGATGAATGCCACTAATGGAAATGAGTGTAATGACACCATGGCAACAACAGTGATAGAAGCAAGATTAGACCAGAGACGAGAGAAAAAGACAGTGAAGTTTTGTACAGAAAAGGGAAATTGCCAAAGAAAGTAATATTTACACAATAAAATGTTTTGAAATACCTGCAAAAATATAGATGGATATAAGGCATGATACAAAAAGAGGACTTAAGAATAATTCTAAGATTCTATGTCCACAGACAGAGGAATGGATAACAAAATGTGGTACATACATAAAAGAGATCATTCATCCTAAAACAGGAAGGAAATCCTGTCATATGCTACAACATGGGTGAACCTTGAGGATATTGTTACATTAAATGTCAGTCACAAAAAGGCAAATACTGTAAAATTCCACTTATGTGAGGTCCTAAGGTAGTCAAATTCATAGAAATGAAAAGTAGAATGTGGTTACCAGGGCCTGGGGGGAAGCTGAGAAAGGGTTTAACGGGTCTAGAGTTTTGCATTTGCAAGATGAAAAAGTCCTGAAGATATTTTTCACAATGATGCAAATGTACTCCATGCTGCCCAACTGTACTGTAAGCTGTACAGGTGTCCACCTTATGGTTAAGAGGGTAAACTTTGTTATGTTTCTTTACCACACACAAAAAATTCTTACTTTGGCCCATAAGGTCCAGTGCTACCTATGTGGTATCCCTTCTTACAAGTGGATAACACACTGCCGACGTTATTATTCTCCAAATAACAGTTAGTACACTCCTGCCTCGGAGCCTGTGCCCTGGCTGTTCTGCTCTTCCCAGTTTATTTGAATTCATTGTTCCCTACTTCAAGTCCTAGTCACATGCGATCTCCTCAGAGGGTCCTCTTCTGATCCCCTAGTACGCAATCTAAATCATTTTCTACCCCCTTTCTCAGGTTGATTTTTCTTTGTGGCATTTACCACCACCTGACATGTTGATTTATTTGTGTTTTGTTTTCCCCATTAAAATGTAGATGTCATTACAATAAGGGCTTTGTCTTTTTTATTGATTACTCATTGATTTAGACCCAAGTTTGGTAGCAGTGCCTGGTATATGATAGACATTTATTTAATATTTGCTAAATAAATAAGTAAATGACAGATAAATCATTTCAACACTAAGAAGAGAGATGATAATTGAGCCTTATGATTTGAAATGCTGCTCATAATTATTGTGAATGTCCTGCATTCCACTTACACCCCTGTCATAAGCTACTGGTGTTTGCATACTACTGTGAGACTCGTCACCATATCATGTGGTACCCATCTAGCTTTGCCAACAAAAATAACCTTAAAATTGGTTGCCAAAAAAACAAAAATGACCTGATCTATAGATCATTGATTATGCCCCCTATGAGAAGTGATTTCAAGTAACCCTATCCTCTTCTTCACAACCTCCCTCACCCGTTCCGATCCCTATTAAAACATCCTGCAAAGGGACCGATCCTTTAATTCTAAAATTGAAAACAAGATTTAACATTGAGAAAGTTATGGACCTTAACTCACATTCACAAGAAGGAGTATAAAACATCGTGTTTGAAGACAGGTTTTGATGGAAATATCAGACTTGACCTTAACGTTTTGTATATGATAAGAAAGACATTATTTATTTGGGGAACAAAAGGCAAGTTGGGATTTTTGATTTGTTTATTTCACAATTTCTAATTATTTCTCTTACATGGAAATCTACCCTAAAAGCTTAACTTGCTCTTAATATTCTTCATGATTTAAAAATTGAAATTAGCAGGGCCAGCCCGGTGGCACAGTGGTTAAGTGTGCATCCTCCACTTTGGTGGCCCAGGGTTCATAGGTTCAGATCCCAGGCATAGACCGGCACACTGCTCATCAAGCCATGCTGTGGCAGCATCCCACATACAAAAAAGAGAAGAAGATTGACATGGATGTTAGCCCAGGAACGATCTTCCTCAAGCAAAAAGAGAAAAGACTGGCAATAGATTTTAGCTCAGGGCCAATCTTCCTCACCCCCCTCAGAGGTTGATATTAGCCTATGCATTATAATAATATTTTAAATGCAAGGGCAGATATAATTCTAAACTGAATGATTCTGGACATATCTTGCAGGAATAAATGTTTGCTTTTGCTTTTGGACTTAAGTAGTTTCAATTTACTTTGCAAACCTCTTTCATGTTTCCAGTTCTTAGCTCTAGACATAATACCCTCCACAGATGGTGGATGTCATTTGATCCTGGCCCTTTCTAGCAAATTCGCATATGTCAGCAAATGAGCCTAAAACAACTCCAGGTTTCAAATGCAAAACATTTGTAAATTGCACTGATTCATAATCAGGACAACATAATAAACTACAATCTAGTCATTCTCAATGGGCCTTATTCAGCAGAAAAAAGCTGTAGAATGGAAGCCAAGAGAGGATGTTGAGCTTGGCTCTCCCAGTACTAGACTTTTGGAAATTCAATTACTCGCCTGTGGAAAGTACTGGAATGATAGCCCTGGGGAATAAAATCCCTCATCATTTCAGAACACAGAATAAAAGGCCAGACTTGCCTGTTACCACCAAGGCCCACCAAGAAATTTAATTCCCATCAACTTCCATTTTCCAACTTGAATTAAACACTTTCATAGTCAACAGGCTATCAATTACCAGTCCATTGCCCCTACCCCAGCTTAGTTTAGTTATTGATTTAATATCAATTACCATTAATATTTTAGCATCAATCAATGTGAATTATTGTGGTATAGGAGGGTTGCATATAAAGGCAGAACATTTCTATTGTTATGGTTATTTTTAAGTACAAGATTATTTCTTCTTATATCCTGAGAGAAGTGAGGGAGCCCAAAGTCATATAACCCAGAACCAGGATGGCACTTTAAAGGAGTTAATATAACTCAGGTCTCAACAGAGGTCTTGTTAAAAAAAAGTCTCTGATAAGAAAAGAGAAGGAATAATGAAGAAGATTGGTATAAATAATTCTGAGACACATTTACACGGAAACCATGTACATGTAACACATCAAATAAAATAAAGTATTTAGGAAAAGTAAAGTTCCTGAAGCCTTTGTCATTGGCTGTAGCGTTTTTATATTTTCAAAGAATAACTCTCTGCTGTTTTCCTTCTGGAGAAGCAAATGGGTCAACCAGGTCTGACATTTGTGCCCTTTTGAGAATTTAATTAGATAAGAACCAAGCTATAAAAACAAAAAAGAAGAACCAACCACCTATCAAACCTATCTGGCTAATTTGAACCACACAGAGTTAGAAGATCTCAGATTGATGTTTCAAAGCCTGAATAACGCCAAAAATTGTTACCATCATAAATGGTCTTCAAACAAAGGACATAAAGCTGTGAGTGACCATCTTTCCACAAAAGGAGCTTTGCAATTTTATAAACCCCAAATTCCCAAGGCTCAATCTCAGGACTTTACATAATGACTGTAAAAAATCAAAATATCTCTCTATTTTGGTGCCATCCAGCACCCAGCAACTCCGAGTTATCCTCCACACCATGTCTCAGTCGCTGGATGATTTTTATTCTCCTCGAAGTAAGTGCACATGTATTGCCGCTGCAAACATTAAACTCGGAGCATTTCCATCAAAAAACTTTCCTTGAGTTCTAAAAGAGAGTTCCCCCTGAAAATTTTATAAATAAGAGGTTGACATGTAAAAGACTTAGGAAATTAATTTATTCAGTGTAAACATATAAATCTTTATTTTTGTCTTATTTCTTCCTATCCACACCATGGAAAAGTGTTTCTCTTTTTTTACTTGAAATACATTCAAAATTATTCAAATATAACAATAATATGTTTATTATTTAAGGTACAGGTTTTCTAATCACTGCCCAAGACAAAGGGCCACAGGTGAAATAAAGAGTCTAAATAATGTCAGCTTAAATTGATGAAGTTTGGGAATTTGCTTTGTGATATTCTAATCATTTTGTATTTTAGATGATTTATTTATACGCAGTATTATTCTGGAATGATTTGAGGCAGGCTAAAAAGAGGCAGGCAATCCAGAAAGACAAATTTTTATTAAAAAGTAAGAGAAACATGACAAGGGACAAATAAGAGCAGACAAATAAAATGAACTCCAGAGCGATAGCCACAAATAACACAGGCAGTGAAAGCCTAGCCACTCATGGGAGATGGGCCAGGACATTGATCTGCGTCCAGTGCTTTCTAGCAAGTAATAGGAAATGAAAACATAGAATCACAGTACCCATAAGTTAAAAGCAAACCAGCTGATTAAGGCGAGCACAAATATTCCTTATAATGAGACAGG